AGCCACATGGGGAGTTACCCAGTCATGCTGGATCTGTCCTGTGTCTACAGAAGGTACAGATGATGTTGTTAACCTTCTTTTTGACTTTCTCTCTTTCTTATGGGAAGAACCCAGAGGGTACAAGATGATTTCCTTTGAGTCCTGACAACACTCAACAAAAATGATTGCAATGCTGATTTTTAAAGATGTACACCTGAAACTTATCTAATGTCTAAATGCAGTGTTTTTTCCCAAAAAAGAAAAAGAAAAGAAAGAATATCCAGAGCAGCGGGGTCATGCATCTGGGAAAGCTCACAATCCTCAAGTTCAGGGCTGGGCTGGCAAAGGGTGGGGAAGGGGCTGGGATGAACGGGGGTGCAAAAGAAGAGACCACAGTGGAGGCAGGTATAGCACAAATGTAGTCCAGCACCCTCTTGCACACAACTTCCCCAGGCTTTATACCCCAGGGGGAAGCAGCTTTAGGAGGGAGAGGGGACTTGGCTTATAATTCCTAGCTGAGGGTTTGGAAGAAGAGGAGGATGCACAAACCATGGCCCAGGACTGCTTGTTCCCACCCACCTTCTCCTGCTGACATTTGGTGATGTCCTGTGATGTTGCTGCTGGGGGTACCTGAAGGTACCGAGGCCCAAGTCAGTTGGTGGGGGGAGCCAGGACGGAGAAGAAAAGTTGTCACATTTGAGGTTGTAGGGGACAAAAAACCTGCTACCCCAAAATATATCTTTTTGGCATGATGTTTATTTAATGACAGGGGCTCTGAAGGCTGGGGGGCGGTTGCTTTTGATGTTTATCTGTAAACTTCTCCCTGTTAGGTCTTCTCCCAGGCAGACCTAATCTTACCTTTTTTTCCCTGAAGAAGGCTCAAGGTAACTCTGCTTGCCTTACGTCTAACATGCCTACCAGATAAACATCCTCACCAACTATTCCCTATCTTCCTTCAACGGCCCTAAACCATTAAAGATGGTAGTCAAAGTCACGTGGGCAGTTACGCAATCCTGCTGGGTCCCTCCCATATGTGCAAGAGGGATGCATGTTACCATTAAACATTCTGGCAAGTTCCCTTCTCAATCTCTGTGATACTTGTTTATTTGCTAGCCCCGAAAAGCCTAGATAGGTGCCGGATGATTCCCTTTGCATCCCAACAGTGTCCAGCATTTACATTTCTCATATCCTTTGAGACGTGTTCCAGCCTTAAGTTAAAAGTACGTTGTTGAATTTCCTAGTGTTTGGAGATTTTCCTGTTATCCTGGTATGAGTTTTTAGATCAACTCCTTTATGACAGGATAACATACTCTGTATCACCTATGAGTCAATGTGCAATAATAAAAGCAGAACCACTAGAATATATATCTGCATTTTATATCTATCTAATTTTTATTTAAGTGAATCATTAGGTATATGTATATCTTAGTGATTCTGCTTTTCATACACACATATGTTCATGCTTATATTTTTACTCACTTGGATATTTTCACAGGGATTTGACTTTATGAAACTGAGCCACAATCTCTGTGAGGCAGGATGAGGATTCAGAAAGGGAGATGGAGATCGGGTGTCGAGATTTGACCATGCGTGTTAATTATCCTTTCTATTGTTTTGTTTTACATTTTTAAAAATTGAATCGATATCGGTTCACAACACTGCATGTGGTTCGGATGTCTGTTACTGCACATTCCCATCACGGAGGCACCACAGTCCTCCTCCATACTCCGCAGTGCTCCTTCCCCTTCCCTGTCTTGTAGCCCCAATTTCACAGTCAGGTTTCTAGGGTTTATTATTGGTTTGGTTTTGTCTGACCCTTTGTTTTGTTTCTATATATTCCATATGTAAGCAAAACCATCTAGTATTTGTCTTTCTCCTTCTGACTTAGTCCACTTAGCAACATCCCCTCCATTTCCATCCATGTTGTTGTCAATGGCACGAGGTCATCTTTTTGTTATAGCTAAGTAGTATTCCATTTTGTATATACCACATCTTCTTAATCTACACCTCTATCCTTGGGCATTTAGGTTGTCTCCACAGCTTGTCTATTACAAATAGTGCTGCAATGAACACAGGAGTACATATATCCTTTTGCATTAGTTTTTCCATTCTTGGAGTAGATATCTAGGAATGTAATCGCTGAATCACGTGGTAGATCTATTTTTAATATTTGAAAAATCTCCATATTGTTTTCCACAGGGGTTGGATCGGTCTACATTTCTATTAACAAATACAAGAGTTCCTTTTCCTCCACATCCTCACCAACACGGTTTCTAGTCTTTTTGATATGGGCCATTCTCACAGGCATGGGCTGTATCTCTTTGTGGTTTTGATCTGCATCCCCCTGATAAGTGATGAGTATTTTTTCATGTGCCTATTGGTCATCTGCATGTCTTATTTGAAGAAATATCTATTTAGCTTTTCTGTTCATTTTTTGATTGGGTTCTTTATTTCCTTTTTGTTGAGTTCTATGAGTTCTTTGTAGATCTTGGCTATCAGCCCTCTGTCAGATGCATGATGTGTAAATATTTTCCCCCAGTCAGTAGGGTGTCTTTTTTTTTTATTGACAGTATCTTTCTCTGTGCAGAAGTTTTTCAGTTTGATGTAGTTCCATTTGTTTCCCATGCCAATTGATTATTCTTTTATGCCTCTGACCTCAACAATTTTAAAGGGTGTAGAAGAAAAAACACTGGCCCAGGAGTCCAAGTTACCTGAGGACCAGTCCCAGCTTCATCTCTAAAGATGAGGGAACACTTGGTTCAGTCACTTCAGAATACAATATCTGCACTGACTCAGGATCTTCTAAGGCCCTGTGTCTGCAGTAGGACCCTGAATCCAAGGGGGAAGGTGATGGTCCTTTAATGACTCAGTGGAATTTTATTCTTCCCATCCCTCCCACTTTGGACTCTGCAGGATGCACTTTTGCCAAGGGACAAGGCGGATGTCCTATTAGGCGTATGTCCTATTGGACTCCTTGTTCAGGGAGCAGCTGTGGTGTGACCATCTTGGCAGGGCTCATTGAGCTTGATCAGCAGAAGTTGGTGGAGCTCTGTCCTGAGGTGGGGGAGGCAGGACAATAGGTGAGATTTGGGTGCCCAGTGGTGTCCATTACCTAATTGTAATGTGGACAGACAGTGCCACAGCCCTGGCCTGAGAAGGGCATGGTTTCCAGGGGCTCACACACCTTAGGATGAGGATTTGAGTCTTATCACTAGCAGGACATCTGGAAGTAATAGCTGAGGGTGAGTGGCATTTCTACAGTGGAGGAAGGAGACAATTAGTACCAGTTGTGGCTGTCAAGGCTTCATCTAGAAGCCTTCTAGATTCTTCCATGCTGGCAAATAATCAAACATGCATCAGACAGATAGGAGAAAATGTCCTATAGGAGTTTAGTAATGTGGATACCTCCTGCTGACAAGAGACCTACCATGACTGAGTAAACTGCTGAAAGCCATCTTAAATAACCAAGAGGGGTAACTTTGGGCTAGGGTGGAGAAAGGGAAGGCCAGTTAGGGAGTTTATGGGGAAGATATGTTAGCCAAAGGAAGATATGTTAGCCTTCTCCTAGAAAAGAGTTAAGGATATTAGGTCTTCCCAGGAGGCACTCTTTTGCAGAGAGGTTTCCATGTAAATGCCCTTTTTTTGAAAAAAGCAAGCTTCACACAGCCTTCAAGGTCCCTCCACGGAAAGAATCTTATGCCAAGAGGACATATTTTGGGATGGCAGGTGTTTGCTCTCCTCAGAAAATTCGCAGTGACTTTTAAGTCTTCCTTCAGGAAGAGAGACCCGGGAGGACTGAGAAGCTGCTCTGTTTCAGGTCAGGGTAGGCTGTGGGAGCCAAGGGTGTATGCCATCAGGATTCACTGCCCCATTCAAGCAGGATACAGTATCCCAGGGAGTCCCTGCCAGGGTATAAAGCCGTATGGGTCACGGGCCTGGTCACTAGTGCCAGCACAACTTTCCTTCTGGATACCCTTTGCCCTGCAGGTCCTGGTCTGCCTGTGAAAGCTCTGGTTACCTCCTTATCTTGCTCCCCAAGGCAAACCCAGAGACCTCCATTTCCTTTCCTTTTTGCCAGTTCCTGGGACCCAAGCTCAGCATCATCTAACCAGGAGCCACTGAGACAGCCTCTCAGGACGACAGTGTATTTATGCATTTTCAGAGCATTTTTATATATGACAAACTCAGAAAGGTAGCTTTTTACTGTTAATTTCTCTTACTGTAATTTCAGTTACATGCAACAGCTATAGCAAAATTATTTCTTTTTTATTCCCTCTAACCACCACCCCCGCCCCACACACACACAATTTACTATTAGGAAAACAGAAGCGATACACGAATACTTTCTGTCAGCACAGCAGGTCCAAGGGGATGTTCATGGTACCATGCTCCTAAGATAGGGGCTCCTGGGACTCTGGGTATCTTTAGTTCCTTTTGTTAATGTCTGGTGGAGGGAAGCAAAAGCTGCCACCCCCAGGAGTGCCTCTGAGAGCTTGGTGGAGGGCACTCTTGTAGGACACGTTTACAGGGGAAGGCAAAGCTCCCTTCGTAAGGCATCCCCACCCTGAACCTCATCTCCTGAACTCTTGCCAGGAAGGCTAAGTCCCTTTATCAGTGGAAGAAACAGCAGTCATACCTGCTGGCTGCAACTTTCCTGCAACCTCCCCACTCGCTCCACATCCTTTGTCTGTAGCTTGAGTTATTTAAAGAGGTGATTTAGGTCATGGCAGGAGTGTGGTTACCAATTTTTTACCAGCCTCTTTCCATGTACACAGGAGGTATACATGTGATTATTAAGTCTTTTTGGAGTATTTTTCTTGTCAATTTGTCTGATGGTAATTTGATTATTTGCCAAATCGACCCTCTCTCCCTGACACAGTTAGAAGTGTATGTATGCAAGGGTGTCCACAGATGATGATAAAACTTGATGGTGAGAAGAGGAAGATGCTTGTTTGAAAGTTCGTTTCTTAGCTGACAGTGGCCAGCCAAGCTGACAATGAGTACACAGAGCTGAGGTCTCCTGATGACAGACACCACACTTTGCTGCTGCTCTGCTCCAGCTACATCTTTCTGAGTGTTTCAGATGTAGTGTGTGTCCCCCCACTTATTTAAACTCCCCTAAACCCAAGAGGATGGTGATCACCTAGTTCCCCGCCAGAGGACTCACTCCTTCATGCCCCTGTGAACCTGTCTGGAAGTGATGGTTTCAAACAGCTTTGATTTTACCACCCAAAGCCTTACTATGCTCTGCAAAAGAAGGGCAAGCACTTACAGAGTAAACTTTTTTGGCTTATATCTTTTATTTTGTTATAGTTCATAAATATAGTTATAAATTAAATCACTAAAGATTTCATCTTTTAAGGCACTAAGTCTCCAGAGTTAAGAAACCTATTGAACTTTGTTCTCTCATTTCAAACATTAAACATGAGAAGTAAAGCTGCCAACTTCATGTTCAATTTGAAGCTTAAATTTAGTAGAATGAATTTCGTACATTCCAAAATCTCACTAAGGAATTAACAAGCTAGAGGCTGAATCAACCATCTTGGCGTGGTTTGATCATCACTTGATTTACTCGCGTTACTCATTCACCTTTGATCGGCACACCTAAACGCAATGCAGATTCTGCTTTTCCAGGTGCCACTGGGGGAGTTGCAGAGGGGACGCGGCATTTGCTCCAGGGGACTCCGGACACTTGGCTTGCTCTAAAAAGCCAACATCTCAGGTCTTGAGCCTCTTGTTGAGCAGTGAATGTTTATCTGCACATACTCCATTTTTCTTCCGACTGGAACTTTCTTTGGGATCCCTGGTGCCATCACTGACCAGTTCTGCGTGGGCTTCGCTAGGCAGCTGCAAGACAGGGTACAGATCCAGAGGGCCATGGACCCTATACCTGACCACCTGCAGGCTGGCTCTGCAGGCCAGAAATCCCAACGCCACAGCACTGGCTGCTCTTCCCTGACCGCAGTGTCAACCTTAAAACATGTGTGAACTTTCCTAGCTCCCAAGTGGACTATCCCTTTTTGGTAAACTCCTTTTCAGTGCTTGCTTAGACCTTAGAGCTGTGATCGAGTCCTAGACTTCAAAAGTCAGTCCTCATTTCTCTATCTTTTTCTTTTCTTCCTTCTTTATTTCTCTCTTTTTTAGGAACCTCCATATCATTATCTGTAGTGACTGAATTAATTCACATGCCCATCAGCAGTGCAGAAAGGTTCCCCGTTAGCCTTGCTAACACCTGTTGTCTTCTTGAAGCCAGCTCTTTCAGCAGGTGTGGCATGATAGTTAATGTTTCTTCACATAAATTTTTTAACGGAGGGTACACTGGGTTAGAACACTGCATGTGATCTAGGGGGACAGGTTCAGGCTCCTCACTATATGCCCCCACACCACACCCACCACCAAGGTACCCTTGGTCTTCGACCACAGTCCATCGGGGCCCCTCCCCCTGATACGCCCACCCCCCTCTTAAACAACAGATAAGAACTGATTTCTAGACTTGGTTTATATTGTTCACACAGACAGAAGCAGTCCTGTTAGCAAATCATTTGCTCTCATTCCAACTGACCAAGGGGACTTTGCTGACTGTGCGGGTGTCTTTCAGCACTGAGTGTTCCTTTATGCATCAAAGGCGTAAACAAACAACAAATTATGCAACAAAGCCTCTCAAGTTTTTGCCTTTCTGTTTTGAGACCCGGGAGCTCTTTCTCACACCCTGGGCAGCTCAGGGAGAGAATGGAAAGGCTCTGGCTGGAAGCACATCAAATGCAGAAACTAGGCCACAAGCTGCCAGAGATTCCCAGGCTCATCAGCCACTGTAAGTTGTTTATTTTACTGTCAGCCATTTGCATGTCTATAACTTTGGGGGTACATGTTTACACTTCCATATGTGCATGTTTCACTTACCTTCCACCAAGCCTTCTATGCCAACACCCCATCCCCCGCCCTCCTCGAGCCCTCGTCCCTCTGTGAACCAGAATATTTTCCCCAGAGTCCAAGAACTGGACCATGCTGCCAATGCTTCCATGGATTTTACAGTGCTGTGTGGGAACCCCAGGAACCGTCAATCAGTTTGCAGACAACAGAAAGTAGTTTTGACTTTTGTTATCATTTCTGTCTCTACTGTGAAGACCCTTTTTGCAGGCCTGAGGGACTTCTGTGGTATGGGAATGGTCCTCGGAACATGTTTCCTTGGCTTTATTCCTTACAAAGAATATGACACTCAAAACTGCACCAGCCAGTCAACCCTAACATAGGCTATTTTGTTCTTTGTACATTTTTAAACAATTTGCAAGTCTTTTTTCTTCATTTTGCAAAGCTTAAAGCTTTTCCTCTAAAAATCAAGTTGCAGACCCTTACCTTTGCTCTGCCTCGAGTATTCTCCGAGATCACACTTTCAGCTTTGCCTCCAATGGCTTCTTCTAAAACTACACCAAGGAAGAGATAACAGAGATAATAAATACAAATGTTTAAAAGATAAATTTTTGGGGACTCTATAGGAAGATCCTTAATGAAGAGTAGATCCGTAATTTAAAAGTGCCACTGTTAAAATTGCTGCTTTTAAACTACATTGTAGCATTTCATTATGTAGGACTGGCCTTCCCAAAATGCTCAAATAGGCTTTTTCTAAGATGTACATATCATCTTTGCATGTGGAGCTATGCTTACTAAAGGCCTCTGGGCCTCAGGGAACCTGATACCACAACCTTAAAGAATGCAGACTACCCAGATTTAGGACCATTGCCAAAAGTCACCCTTTAATCAGATAAGCTTGTCTTAAAGCAGAGCCAACATCTAGAGTACCCCAACACCATCTTTTATTTTCCACATAAATTTTATGATCGGGGCCTCCCCGGTGGCGCAGCGGTTGAGCGCTGGGTTGTGAAGCTGCCGGCGAACTCTGCGGCGCCGGTTCGATCCCCGGCTGCTCCCCGGCCACCTGAGGAGGGTCCCACATGGCGCGCAGACCTCTCCTGCCGCCCGCTGCTCCCCTCAGCAGTGTACTTCGGTCCTTCTGCCTGCTCTGCTCCCCGCTCTGGCTCTGGTGAATTCTCTCACCCTCCCGCGCTTCTGACTGTACCCAGTGCATGTATAAACAAAACAAACAAACAAATAAATAAATAAAGCATGCCTCTATTAAAAAAAAAAAATTAAAAAAAAAAAAAATTTTATGATCCACTAACACTCGCAGCCCTCTTGCTAGTCCCTCCCTCCTTAGCTAAATTTCAGTACTGTTGGGCCTCCCCGGTGGCGCAGCAGTTGAGCGCTGGGTTACGAAGCTGCCCGCAGCCTCTGCAGCGCCGGTTCGATCCCCGGCTGCTCCCCGGCCACCGGAGGAGGGTCCCACACGGTGCGCAGACCTTTCCTGCTGCCTGCTGCTCCCCTCAGCAGTGTACTTCGGTCCTTCTGCCTGCTCTGCTCCCTGCTCTGGCTCTGGTGAATTCTCTCACCCTCCCGCGCTTCTGACTGTACCCAGTGCTTGTATAAATAAATAAATCAATCTTTAAAATAAATAAATAAATAAATAAATAAATAAATAAATTTCAGTACTGTTAATGATGTCATCATTAAAACCTATGGTCAAAACTTGCACACCAAAAGTACTCAGAGGAATGGGGGGATTTTCCCTGCACCCCAAAAATTACTACCATTTACAAAGAGCACTAAACCTAATTCTCTTTACTCAAAGGAAATTTCTCTGGCCCACTGCCAATAATGTCCAAGCTCTGAGATGACTTTAAAATAATAGTAATAGATTTGTCCAATCTGTACTTTTTTTCCTACTGGACTGCAAGAGGACAGGCAGGCACATGAGCAATGCTCCCTGAGTCCAGAGGCAATGACTATATCATTGAACTCAGGCTGCCACTTATCCAGTATGCGCCACCAATTCCTGGTTTCTCAGGAATATAAACCTGGGCTAGACCCATTTCCTCTAGCCTGGGCTAACCCCAAAAGGCTGAGAAGGGAGCAGAGGTTGAATCTTAAAAACAGAACTAAAGCAACAACAAAAATGAACTAGCAGCCCACAGTGCTTTCTGTTTTTCAGCATTGTTCTTCATTGCTAATTTACAATCTCAATTTATAGTCATAACATAAGATAAAAGTAAGTTACTTCCATAACACAGGTAAACAAAAGCTAAATTCCTATCACAGGCTATAATTCTGAATGACAAGTGAAGTCCTCAAAAATTAAACTGTGGTAAGTGAAGCGCACACAAAGTCAAACTACTCAGCAGACAGCAAGTTAAATGTTAACCTGCAGCCTATGACTTTATTAGAGGTGTCTCACGTATTCATGGTCAGTGTAAAACACCAAAAATGCAGCGTGTGTGGTGCATGGTACAGAACAGACATGATGGGTTTTAAATAGTAGAAAGTGAAAATAAATGATAGATTAATTGAAGTGGTATGAGTGCCAACCAAATTTAGAATAACTAAGAGTCCACAAAGTTACTTTTCAGCTATCTTTTTTGCAGTTCCAAGCACAAAGTTACATATCCATTTCCCCCATAGTCCACTTGTGCTGTGAATATGTGTGTGAAGTCATGCATGACCAGGCCAGCGGGGAGGGAAGCAAGGCAGGCAGGGGCAAGGAGGCCTCAGAAAGATCTGTGGACTGACCTGTCAGAATCCCGTCCAGTTGGTCCACCATGAACGCTGCATCTTCTTCAGTGAAGCACATGGGTGGCTTTATTTTAAGCACATTCCTGTAAGGCCCATCTGCACTGAGGAGCACTCTACTTTCTTTCATCCTGTTGAAACAAAATGAACAATTTTAGAGATCTAATTGACTTTTACTAAATGATTCATGAAGAGGGCAGATCCTGTCTAGATACTGCAACACCTTACACAAAATGAAGGCTATTTATAGATACTTAACAATTAAAAATACTTCACAATAGGAAATATACATGAGCACAAAGGGGAACCAGGATTATTTAAGAATGATGAGGACATAGGGCAGGTAATATTCTGTACACAAGAAACCCACATTTATAAATTGCACGAGTTCTTAAAACTTTCCTTATTTGGAGAAGAGAGGGAGTAAAAGCAGTTTTCAAGTGGGTGGCCGTCAAGAGCCAAGAAAACATACAGGCAGGGTGTGGGGGGGAAAACATACAGGCAGGGTGTGGGGGGGTCCATTTACTTGTAGATGATGTGTTGCGCTTCTGCTGTGGCAGGGGTCCTTTTCTGATGGTCCTTTACTAAGTCAATTCCGATGAAGAGGCCAAAGCCCCTGAGGGGTATGCAAAAAGGTAACTTGAGACAATAATAATAAACACTGCACTGTTACAAAGAATTAACACTGTCCTCCAACTTCAGCTAAATTTGAAGCTGAATATGATTCCCTCATGGGTAATTTCTATTGAATCTAAGTTCACAACTCTTTCTGGTTTCTGAAACAAGTTAGCATTTGTCATCCAGTTTTTTTCCTCCCACTTCAGGAAAAAAGGCTAAACAATAACTTTTCCATGCTATTTAGTTTCTCAGGATATCAATGCTGATAAATGTCTATATATATGTGCGTGTGAAAAATACTGAGATTCCCAGGATATCATTTAAAATAATTTTTGATAGAACATTTGGAGTTATTTTAAGTTCCTTTCATCTTCTAGATGCTGAAATGATGCCAGGTTTATTAAAAAAAAAGAAAAAAGGAAAAAAAAAGAAATATATAAACATCAGGAGACATATACTCAGCATTAACAGAGCTTATATCTGGCTTCTAGATTAAGAATGATGTTCATTTTCTATGTTTTTTGGTGTTTCATAGATTGAATTTTTATGTAACCTCTTTTAAGCTAGTAAGACAAAACAAACTATCTTCATTTGGAAAAATGAATAACGACATAACTTCATGACAAATGTACCTGATGTCTCCTATCAAAGTGTGCTTAGCCTTCTGTTTCTTCAGTAACTCAATAAGATAATCCCCTACTCTTGCGGCATTTCCTTGGAGATCTTCATTTTCAATTACATCTAGCACGGCCAAACCAACAGCAGAAGACACCGGATTTCCTCCATACTTCAGGAAAAAAACATAAACGAGACAACACAACGCTTGAACTATTGATAATGCTTCATGTGAGAAATCTGGTTTCCAATTAATGCATGCATGATTCTAATAAAATTTTTTCCTGTGATACTGTTTCTTATATTTAGAATATGACACAATTTCTTTATTCAGCCTCAAGTGAAAGGTCAATGCATTTTATTTCTCCATGCTGTGTAACTGGTACCAAGGACTCAGGGAATTTATTGGTTCATCCCACCAAAAAAACAGACATTATGTTGGGAAGTAAAGCATGGTTCAGTGAGGGGAATATGGGATTCTTCCCTTAAACAGTTGTGTGAAAACAACAATGACATTTTCTCCAAATAACTGATGTGTTTAGATTTGAACCTTACCTTTGGAACAAATCCTATTACACACACTGCTTAATTACACACACAGGCTTAATTTTTCCAACTTTAAAGTTTATGGCATTTTTGGATAAAAGGAAGGAAATAATATTTCCCAAAGGCAGCCATGTAACATTTCTAGTACTAGACCATCTAAACATTGTGAAAGTATTTGGGATTTAAATGTGATACGAAGCAAAAAGAATCCTATCATCTGTAAATAATGTCTCATAACCTCTTCAGTCTACAGGGGCAGTCATCTGTCATCAGAACAACTATAAGGATGTTTTCAGAAGGGGAAAGATATACACAAGGAAAAATACAAGAAGAACTGTGCCCAACAGACTGAAATATGGTGAGAGTAAAGTTTGGGTAGTGTCCCGGGATGATTAGCTGGCAATACTGAGCTTTATTTTTTATGACATCACAAGAAGTATAATAATATACATTCTTTTATCCCTCTTAGCACTAAAAGTTGAAGATCAAAATTTACCGTATTGAAATACTCCATCCCAGAGCTGCTGAAGGCTTCTGCGATTTCTGTGGTTGTTACCACACATGCCATGGGGTGGCCATTGCCCATTGGCTTCCCCATCGTGACAATGTCCGGAACAAAGTCTTCACCATGCATCTGGAAGCTCCAGAAATGTTTCCCAACTCGGCCAAAGCCCACCTGAACTTCATCAGCTATGAACACACCCCCTGCTCCACGCACATATCTGAAAAGCAACAGCACAGTTTATTGCCTTCACCACTCTGAGCATCCCCAAACCCACCCACCAGCACACAGATGATTGAGAACTTTAAAAAATGTTGTGAACCTGGAGTCTATAATCTTTGTTAAAATATTTCAGTACTCATACCCTACTCCCAAGACATCTATGTGATTGAAATATAATCACAGAATATTCCAGTTAGATATATTCTACATCATTTGGGTTTGTTCTCTTTAAGCAATGCTGTATTATTTTAAGTAGGAAAAGAATGAAGTGAACAAGAAGTAGTTTTTCAGCCAGGTTAATCTCCAAATTTTTACTAATCCGAAAAGCTTGGACACCAGTCAATCAGAGAGGCTGAGGTTGAAGGGGGTTAGTGGCTGCTACAGAGTCCTGCAGGCAGGCCCCCCACTACTGGACCAGGTATTAACCCTTTATTTGCTGGACCTTTGGAAGGTGGAGGAGTTCCAGGAGTCCTGGGATGGTGGGCACTCCAAAGTGGCTATTTACCAGCCAGCCTGAAAGCACGTCAATATTATAACAACCAGTACGGTCCTACAGAGTTGCCATGGTGCCCTCAGTTTCACCAAGGATGCCCAAGTCCAGTACATACTCTGCCACTTTCTGGAAGTAGCCTGCTGGAGGAATTACTTGTCCGCCACAACTCTGCATGGATTCGGCAATAAAAGCAGCAATCTATACAAGAGAAGATGGAGTCAAAGTCCATTAGGACCCTCTCATACCTCCAAATAAAGAGGACTTCCTATAGAGCAGGTTATTTTAGAAGTGGAATAGACTGGTGGCCACCAGATTAGATAAAGAAAAGATGTCTATGCTGAAAAAGCAGCTGGGATGAGCATCAGTTTCTGAAATTTTTGGTAATTACTATGAGAAACAGAGAAGATGTGTTCCAGCTCATTAATTTAAATGCAGTGTTATCACAGCATCCACTAAGATTGATGTTTTGATCAGTCTCTGATATGAGCTTCTAAAAAATTATGCAGGTTTCAAATGCATCACTTTAGGGCTGATTTCTCTGGTCTGGTGAAACATGGCTGCCTGAAGTTGGGATCCACACTTACGAAATGGGAAGGAACACACTTGGGTTACTGTGCTGTATTTCTAGTTCTGGCCCTGAACCAGGCTGAACTCAGCAGAATTAGTCAATTCACAATAGGAACAGAGGAACTGTTTCAGAGGTGGAAAAACAACAGGTAGAAAATAACACTCAAGAATGAATAGAAAGCACAGACTATGAGGTAATAAGAGAATCAAGGTTCCAGTCCAGACTTAATGACTGTATTCCCTCAGCTTAGGTTATGTTAAAATATCTTACTTAATAGCTGTAAAATGAGGTCAGTAGTTCAAAAGATTTCTGCTGTAAAATTATGAAGCATCCATAATCATATGGATGTGCTCACTAACTATTGCATGCTATTTTTCCCAAGAACTATTCAAACCTGTTAGTAGTAGAAAGACCATAGGATCTCAGTAATGTCAAGTTTTTCCTGGAAACAGTTTGTGTAGAGAGGTATAGACTACCTTTGAAGAGGAAAAGAGCGTGAAGCTCAAACAGTAAGTAAAGCACTAGATCTCCCCACACAATTATCTCATTGAAGACATGAAAAATCAAAGGATGGGAAGAAAAAGAAATAAAAAACAGTTAAGAAAAACAACTGATTCTTCAGTCATGAAGATAAAAATATCTGAATTGAAAAAAGCACCGGCTTCATTTTTATCTCAGTTAAGATTGTTTTTCATTGTTATATGTACGGACATAAGCCAGCTGGAAGGAAAAGCAGGGGTCAAACTGCACTATAGCCGTACACAAGGAACCCCCATGTGTGCTGAGAACTTAGTGTGAACCTGAAGACAGCAGGAACAAGACTGAGGAAGTGAAAACTTTCTTCCTATGCTGGAGGATTCTGGATCTGCCTTAGAAATCCAGGTCCAGATGGGAAGGACATCTTTCTGCCTTGACTTACTCAGGTCAGGCTATCTCTGGGGGGTTCTGTGACTGCATGAAAGTTTAAGGGAGACACCATGGCTCCCTGGTGGGCCTCGGAATCTGCAGTGGTACGAAGGCATCAGAGCGACTTTGCGTCTTCCTTTCATTCACCGTATATTAGTCCCTCCCAGCTACTCTCGGCTGGAAGTCTGTTCCTGGACTTTCACCTTTCTTAATCTTCTCTGCTTGACCCCTTTGGATCAGAGTCTGCGTCCCACTGGGAAGGTCAGAATTAGGCCACCAGTTCTGGAAGGAAGATTGTAATTGCATTTCCAGGATAAATAAAAATAGTTTTATATAATTGATAGTTATAAATAATGCACTTTTGAAATATGAACAAGGTGGAAAGTAACCACAGAAGAACAGAAAGGGGAGTTAGATGGAATAATTTTCTACCTCTCCAATGGTAGAAAACACTTTTTACAAAAGCTGCTAAAATGTTTACAAACCTTCCTTCCACGGTTTTGAGCTTCTTCAATAATTTTCTTCACTTCATCTGCATAAGCACTGGCTGGGTCTTCATGGTCTTCTTTATATTTTCCTCTGTATGTATCTGGAGTTGGTGCCTGAAACCATCAAATGACAGTTTCTTAGGGTTTGCCTCCTTGATGAAAGAACTTTTATAAAAGGGCATTTGCTCACAAGAGCATATTAGAAAGGTGATCACATGGATTTAAGCAACTCTAGTTTCTTTTGTTTTTTGTGCTTAGTGTTTCTGAATTCTGTGATTACTAAAATCTTCACACTGTGAACAGGAACTTGGATTTGCTCCCAGAGTCTTGCAAATCAACACTGCATCTCCATTCACAGAAGGAGAAATTCAGATCAACAAGTGTGATTTTATTATTTGAAAATTTCAATGCAAGAAAACTATATTAATGATTCTATATGAAAAATAAAAACAACAATTATCAACTATGTTGCAAATTATAATCATTCCTAAAACTAGAGTACCTTAGTTCTGATCCAGCTCATAATTTTTAAAGGAGTTATTGATGGTTCTCTGAAGAAAGTCTATTAATCCTTAATTAATGGAAATACACCAAGTGAACATCACTGTTTCAGCACTTGATTGGTTTCTTTTTACTGAAAACATCGATGTCATTTGGCAGAACAAATTTTCAGACACACTGTCTGAGTTTCAAGTTGGCATCAGTGATAGAAAAGGTAATTGGAGACCAGCAGGCAAGAAAAATAAAGCAGTTGCGTTAAGTTACAGTAGTCACAACTGCAGCACTAATTTGCCTATTGTGATCCTCATGAATGGGTTTTAAGCCTCATCCTGTCATGTTCTGCTCTTTAACAGGTCACATCACCGCTCTAGAACTCAGTTCCTTTCTGTGGTTGCATTTCAATGAAAGAATTGACTGGATTATCACAGGGCATTGTTTCCTGTGCTAACATTCAGCTGCTTGGCTTCTAAAATACTTACCACATGCACAAATTCTTTCTTGTCATCTTTGCCCTTTAGAAACTTATAAGGACTAATCTCAATTAGAGATGTTAGGTGGCCATGGTAAGCGCTGAAAAGAGAAAAGACAGTAACAAAAATCACTCAAAAAAGGATGTTTTACCAGAATATGTAAAACAAAATTGTACATCATCCCAGCAGGATCTCAACATTCGGCCAGATTTAACTACCTAGGGTCTAATTGTTTGTGGGAACATAGGCCATTTAATTCGTTCAGTTCTCATTCATGTAATAAAGCCAAGTATGTATTCTCCTAGCTAATTTAAGTGGAAAAGCAATTCTTTTGATTATTAGGTCAGCTAAGTCCAATTACTTAGACGTAAAAAATGCTATTCTTTCTTTTAATGACTTCCTATGTTTGTATCTGTATTCTTTAAATATATTTGATATATTCTAGCACATTTTAAAACTTTATATCCTAGAATGGATGAGTTTCTGTCTGAGATGTCTTCTAAAGCATGTCCAATGGCATCAATTGGGCAAATACTATTGGGAAGGAAGAGGAGGTGTCTCTGAGAACTAAGACTGAGAAGTGACCAACAGCTATGAAATTGCTTTCTCTCACTTAAAATGCAGGTGGCTATGATAGTCCATGCTCTATCTTTTGCCAAAGATTTAACTGGGAGGTCTAGAAAAGTAATTACAAGAAGTCCATGAATAGATAAAGCAAAGAGGGAGGACTTCCCCTGCTACAGATTAAGGCATATTTTGTCCTGCTATAGGAGTAAGAACAGAGGCCACTGAGACAGAAGGAGAGCTCAGAGACACATCCACATGTACAAGGTAACACAGCATACTCCAGTAGGGTTCAACTGAGGACAATTATAAAAGGAGAAGAAGAAAACGAAGAACAACTTTGTGATTTGGGAGTGGGGTAGGTGGGGTGGGGTGGGGAAGAAAGCTATTAACAAAACTTAGAAAATAAACCATCAGGTAAAATTTCATTGGATCAAAATTAAAAATTTCCATTTAAGGGTAGCATGGACAGAGGAAAAAGACAGGCAATAAAAGGAGTGAGTGCCAAAAATGGTGATTCTCAACTCTGCCTGGATAGTAGGAACATCAAAAAATGTAAAACACTGGGATCCACCTCAGAGATTCTCTTTAATTGCTCTGGGGTAGGGCCTGGGCATTGGCATTGTCAAAATACCTCTCCAGATAATTATAAAATCCAGTGAAGGCTGAGATCCTCTGATGTCGAGTCTCTAAGTAAACAACAACCAAGAAGGAAAGGATGGAATGTAATAGAAGTATGAATGAAAATTTGCTGTCAAATTACATAGAAAAAGGGACAAAGAAAATGAGCAGGTAATTCTCAGAAATCACAAATGTATAACAAACATATGAAGAGAGAAACTCATAAACAGATAACTGTGAATTAAAACACTAGTACCATTTTATACCTAATAAAGAAAAAATAGAGGGCCTCTCCGGTGGCGCAGCGGTTGAGCACTGGGTTGAGAAGCTGCCCACAGCCTCTGCAGTGCCGGTTCGTTCCCCGGCTGCTCCCTGGCCACCGGAGGGCCCCACATGGCGCGCAGACCTCTCCTGCCCTGCCCGCTGCTCCCCTCAGCAGTGTACTTCGGTCCTTCTGTCTGCTCTGCTCCCCGCTCTGGCTCTGGTGAATTCTCTCACCCTCCTGCGCTTCTGACTGTACCCAGTGCTTGTATAAATAAATTAAAAAAATAAAATAAATAAAAATAAATCTTAAAAAAAAAAAAGAAAAAATAGAAGGCAGGATGCTATTAGGTTTTGGTGAAAACACAGCAAATTGGGAAAATCTATGCCCTGCTGTAAAGCCTTGCATCCATCCTGGAACTGTAAGTATTTTGTCATATCAATGATGTCTGTGTGCCCCTACCACCCAGCGATCCTATTTCTGGGTATTTTCCCCATAGAAATTCTCAGAAAGGTCCATAAGAGCATGCTGTTCAAAGATCCTTGTTGCAGCACTGCTTGTGTAGCTGGGAGTCAAGGGTGATCCCCCAAGGATCCATGGGGCTGGGGGGAGTTGGTATGCATGAGCCCAAGCCACACTGCTCCTCATGCAGTTACTGAGCATTTGAAATGCAGGAGTCTGAACTGATATGTGCCGTTAGTGTAATACACTCATTGATTGTAAAGGAGGGAGGAAGGGGGGTGAGGGAGGGAGGTTTGGGAGGGAAGGAAGGAAGGAGAAAATACCAAATCTTTTATACTAATTGCATGTTGAAATGATATGTCAGTTAATGGGATGCCCAGAACAATTTAAGTTTCAAATTATATTTAAATTCCTCATTGTATTTCTATCAGACAGCACTGAATTATAAGATTAAATGTACATCCAGCAATATGGAGTCTTGAAACAGTGCTGAAGGAAAGAAGTCAGAAACAGAAAGAAATCTATAGTCACTTTTGTAAAACAAAATAGATCCACATAAAATAATACACATTTTCAAGAATACAAAAAATAAAAGACATTCATTAGAAGAGCTGTTGATAGGTGGGGGAGAATGGGAATAAAAAAGAACAAAAAAAATAAACTGTGGTATGCAAAATAATGCCCTCCCACCCCCAGCTGCCTACCACCTAGTCTTTGGAGTCTAAAAATCTGTCACATAGAAAGAGGACCTTGCTATAATGGTTAAATTACACACATTTTAAGGAGATGGAGAGATAATCCTGGAGGGTCCAAAGGAATCACAAGGGAAAAAAGCTGGCAGAGGGAAAGCAGCTGGTCAGAGACACAGAAGCCACAAAAGGACAGAAGAGGCTGAGGGATGAAATGGGCTGGCTCCCAATATGGACGAGGGGTCCCAGAGCCAGGGAATTAGGGCACCCATAGAGGTGAGACAAGGCAAGGAGACTGATTCTCCCCATCATGCCTCCAAAAGGAGCTCAGCCTTGTTGACACCTTATGTTCCTTCCATGAGACTCATGTCAGACTTCTGACCCCCTGGACTATAGGAGAGTAAATTTGTGTGAGAGTCACTATGTTTGGAGTAATTTTATACAGCAAGAGAAAGCAAATATACTAACCAACATATGTTCAATTCAACCCTGTAAAGTTGAGTTGAAAGTTAGTAAAGTTAAAAGTTGTAGATTTCATGTTTAAGATGCAATCAATTCACGAGAGGGAAGATTAAACAGTGACCGCCACAAACTGAGAAAGTACTTTCATTGGACTACTGATTTTCTTTATAACATACTCTAAATTGTTACCTTTTAAGTTAATTACAGTGGGTAATCCCAATGGTGAAATGAAGGTTTGGATTTTTAGAATATTGGTTATTTTTTTATTGTTTAAAAAAATAGTTACTCATCTTATCATAGGGGTTCAATAAATAAACAGACTGTGTGAAGAGTTAGCCTGAGTCACATAAAGCCCCTGCAGCAGTGAACAATGGGGACTGGGGAGGAATTAAGGATCCTCCAGGCCTAAGCAGGCCTTGACTCCCCTATACATAATAAAAAACACAATGTCATCTATCCCCTCCTCCTTCTGTGCTTATGGTATTAAATGGATGGGATGAGTCACTGCAAACTTGTCTCAGAGGGACTTTCTTAGAAGTCTTCTTCTAGGACTTACTGGTTAAGGGTAATCACGTCTTGGTGGCCTCTGAAGTGTCGAGCCAGGCGTAACGCCAAGTCGTTGGCTTCAGATCTATTAGGATAATAGAGAGAGGGGAAAGTTTGGCTGAAATGCTTTTAGAAATAATTCAAAATGTTAATTACAAAAGTGGTAAAACTCCAATTATTCAGAAATGAATAAACGAAGTATCTGAAGTTCTCTGCTGCCCCTTCAATCTTGCCTATCCTGTAAGTATCAATCCACCCTTCCAACAGTAGTTGTTCAGCAAAGGAGATGCAGAGAGAGAGCCACTACAAAGTAAGGATGTGCTGTTCAAGCCACACTGGAGCCCAGTCACAGCAGTAGTCGAGTAATTTGGGACACACTGAGAAATATGCAATGGGTTCATCTGAATGGGCTTGCGGGGAGCCATTCACTTGGTTACTATTGTATTCACCCAATATTTGATAAGTCCTCATCTATAAAATGAAGATCATAATGTTTCTGTCTGGTTCAGAGTCTAAATATACTACTCAGTATATTTATTTGGGCCATGTTAAGTATCTGCCAGGTCTATACCAAGTGTTTTACTGTATTTGTTGACATAACTACACTGCTATCTCCTTTATAGGGACAAGGAAAAAGCCTGTTTCCAGGACTTCCAAGGAGGTTAAGTAACTGGAATAAATTTTCACAGTTAAGAAGAGGTAGAGCAAGCATTAGGACTGAAGCCAGTTTAACTTCAAGATTACTGTTTGCATTGTCTCAGGCTCTCTCACCTCCAGTGTATGGAAAATGCCTTGCCTTGGGACTAATCCCCTTGACACTATAGGATTCTTTAGAAATGGAAGTCAAATATTAAGATATTTTATTTATTGAAGGCAAGAATGCTTTATCAATTATCTTGATCCTTAGAAAGGATCTTCTAGTTAAAAATGTGCTTTTGAAATGTCTCACTGACTAGAGAAAAGTGGATCAAAGCATCATATTTCAAAAACTTTCTGAATTCCTTACTAGTTAATACATACAAAAATATATGTTTAAAATAAGAGTTTATGCTATACATACAGGTTTCCTTCCAATGTTATATTGCATTGTAACTTTTTCATGTCACTAGCATATATTTTCAAAAACATACTTTTTAACGTCTGTATAGTATTCCACAGGATTGTCATGTAATACTTCGAATTTACAGAATATAAAAATTGGAACATATTTATTCTCTTGAATTTATTTTCCTTCTTTGTGGTTGTGCTGTGAACTGCCTAAGAAAACAAGTCAATCAAAAACCCTACAAAAATTATAGCTTATTTAGCAAAGTTCTTTCTTTGCCAAAATTCCACATTCGTGCCCTGACTGAGCTACCTCAGTTCACTGAGTATGCAGTCACTTAACCTTACTGCCTGAAGAAGTGTGTTATTTGACTAGTTTGGTTTTTCACATAAACCCTGGACTTGAATATGTTTGCCATGGTTATAGCCTGTAAGTATGGATCCTTTAGGGACACTGGAGGGCACGTTCTTCCCAAGGAAGTCATGGTTCTAAAATTTGCAGTGGTTGCACATCTTAATCATGGCACCACTGATAAAGGCTGTGCTGGGAAGCCTGACACCTGCTCTTCAGTGTCTTGAAGAGGCTCAGGACACTGAGAGTCCTAACAGGCTCCTGGAGTGAAGCAAAAAAGCCACAAGAGTCAGGTCCCCCATGTGTGGTCACTCAGTAAATGGCAAGAATCTCAGGAGACTATTCTGGATGTCACACTCCACCATAGATGGAAAAGAAAAATAAGGGTGACATAATACAGAGATCGGTGGGCATGGAGAGAGGCAGGACAGCTGGAGACATACCCAGAATTTGTAAAATAGAAAACAGAGAGTTTCTCCGGCAGGGTTGCTGAAAGGCGCTTGGCATACTCGACCATGTTGTCGTGGAGGAATCGAGAATTTGTATTTAGCAGTTCCATCTGCTTAAAGGCAGCTTTGACCACTTCTGGGTGACAGTGTCCCACTAAAATTTAGAAGACAAAAATCCCAGAAATGAGTTCCAATTCTAATGACCTGGCAAAAGAGAGGGATTCTGAAGCAAGCAAAAAAAAAAGTCGAGCTTCTTTTCCTCCCATGTGTTTCTGCAACTTTTCCCTGTGTGAACAGGCCCTGAGCGGCAAGGGCACTGCAGACACATCCATTCCTGGGATAAACATCTATGCTGCCACCCTGCTGACTCCATAAACACCCTTCAAGGCACAACCAAGACAGGATATTTACCATGGGCCACATTGTTGATGCAGTCCAGGTACCGTTCACCTTTCTCATCAAACATGTACTGCCGCTGGGCGCTCACTATTTTGATGGGATCTGCCGCAAAGAAAACTTTGCATGAAGGCCTAGAAATAATGAAAGGAAAGGTTAGGTCTGGTAGGAAGTCTCAGTGTTTTTCTTTTCCAATGAAGGTCATGATCAGTGGAAATTTACAGTTACATAAAGGAAAGGGAAAACAACCTGAGTGACAGATTGCTGTTGTTTTTTTCATTATCATCCCAGAGCCTTTTACCTTAATTCTCCATGGGTGGCGCTGCACACATTTCTTTCTTTCTTTTTTTTTTTTTTTTTTAAAGATTTATTTATTTATACAAGCACTGGGTACAGTCAGAAGTGCGGGAGGGTGAGAGAATCCACTAGAGCCTGAGGGGAGAGCAGAGCAGGCAGACTGAAGAAATACACTGCTGAGGGGAGCAGCGGGCAGCAGGAGAGGTCTGCGCGCTATGTGGGACCCTCGCCCGGTGGCCAGGGATCGAACCGGTGCTGCAGAGGCTTGGACCAGTGCTGCAGAGGCTGCGGGCAGCTTCGCAACCCAGCACTCAACCGCCGCGCCACCGGGGAGGCCCCAAGTCTGACAACTTTAATTATACAAACCAAGAACTAATTTTCCTTTGGAAAATTCAGCTTTCTCAGGAAAAAAGAAGGCAAACTTTTTTCTCCCTGAAGCTATGTTGACAAACATTGTCTCATTTAATCCTCCCAACAATCACATGAAATAGGGCTTATTAGTCATATCATTATGTAAGGACATGGAGGTACAGGAAAATTAAACTCATTTCAATTACATGGCCACTAAGTGAAAGAACTAGAATGTGAAAGTAGACCGTCTCCTGCTCGAGCCCAAGAGTTCTCTCTGTCTCTTTCCTTCTAATCTAATTTATAAAGAAAAGACTAGCACTAAAAGCTAAATACAAATAACTTAATGCTAAATACCATGAAGGGGATTTTATGGGAGATCATTTCCATGTGTTTTGAGTGGCACTTGTGCACTTATATATCCAGTTATTTATTAAATAATTACATATTAAATGATATTATTAAATAATGAAATCCAGTTATTCTTCTAATCGCCAACCCCCAATCCAACCTTTTGAGCATAGTAAAGTCATTCAAATTTTTGATTATTGGGGTGACTATCTGGACTATAAATTTTAGCAACATCAAAACATCAGAAAATTTTTAATTTTGGCTCTATGGACATTTAGGAACTAAAAACAAAATACATGTAGTGATTTTTGCCTGCACAAAAACCACGACAAGCACTGAAATTAGTGTTGGGGGGAATTAGAGGCATATAAAACAAATTAATATGCAACTGTTTAGGAAGTATTTTCACTATTGGGAATAGTTTATTTTAAAATTTAAAACTGCTTAAGATAAAACATTTATCACCTTGTTTTCTAGTACTCTCCACCCTGCCCTTCAGACTTCAGGTAAAATTCTCCTGGTCAGCTCATGGCTACATTTGTCTCTTCACAGAATTTGTTCAGTTCATGCCAGAAATCTGCAGGTTTTCACTGCGCTCCAATTACACAGAATTGCAAATTTATACAAAGGAGCAGTGGTAAGAAGAAGGGGAGGGGGCTGAGTCAGGAAGGAGGAATTTGACTGTGGGGACCTCCCTGGGGGTGGGGTGGAGAGAATCCGCGTCCTAAACCATCTAGAAACCCCTGGGGGCGCCCTCAGGAGCCCAGGGACAGGCACTTGTCCGCGGGGGACACGGTTCTGACTCTGCTGTGGCCTCGCGCCCACCCGCTGCACCGCGCGTCTGGTAAAGACCGCAGGCTAAATATTGCAAAATGCCGCTGCTTCTGCAGTGGGGGGGTGGGGGGTGGGGGTGGCTGCCCACGGCGGGCCCCCACTCGTATTCACCTACGACTTTTAAAAAGCCCTCTGGGGACAGGGTGGCAGGAGAACTATGGGGACAACCCGATGTAAGAAAAAAAAAATTCATTAATAAAAAATAAAATACAAATAAATACACAAGCAGCTCACACTCTCTCGCTGCGGACAAAGCGCTGCTCCCGCGCCCCCGGGAGAACCTGCCAGGCCAGAGGCCGCACAGGGGCCCCGTTCGCAGGGCCAGAGCGCAGGGGCGACCGCGCCCGGTCTACACCGCGCGGCACACCCGAGTCCTGACACGGGCAGAGCCAAGCGCCCCGGAGGGTGACCCCGGCGGGGAGGCGGCACCCCACTCGCAAGAAGGTGTCTTCCGAGTCTTCCTACCGGCCGGACTAGTCCTTCCCCGCCGGGCGAGCGCGCGAGGAGGAGCAGGTGCCCTTCCCGCCAAGGCGGCCGGCGCTCGCGGCTCACAGGACTCCAGAGACTCGTCTGAGGGGGTCTCTCTGAGGAACTTCTGGTTGGGGGCCGGGCGGCGGCGAGCTATGCCCAGCGCCGGGACGGCCTTCTCCTCCCAGGGCTGCTCACCCGGGGTTCCCCTCCCTCAGCCGGCAGCCCCTCTCCTTCCGCGGGCGCCCGGCCATCGCTGCGCGGGAGAGCGGGGAGGCAGCCCGGCGGGCGCGCACAGGTGAGGCGCTCCGAGACGGCGGCGCGCACGCGCACAGCAGAGGCGCGCCAGCGGGCGGCGGCGCGCATGCGCTCAGGTGAGGCGCTCCGGCCCGGCGGCGCGCATGCGCACAGGTAAGGCGCTCCAGCGGGCGGCGCGCATGCGCACAGCAGGGGCGCGCCGGGCAGGCGGCCGCCAGCTCCAGCCCAGCGCTGCGCCGCGCCCGCCGGGGCGCATCCTCCGCGCGCCGCGCGCTTGCTGCCCGGCTCCCGGCCCGCTCCAGCTGCCCGCCTCCGGGCTGGGTCTCCGAGCCCCGGGCTGCGTCCTTACCCGATGTGCTTCTTCCTCAGGGCCAGGGTGTCCTGCTTGCTGTACAGCTCGCACATGCCGGCCGCGCAGCCCGCGCCCTTGCGCGCGGCCCTCTCCGGTGCGTGCGCCCGCGGGAGATCCGGACCTCGCTGGGCCCCCCGGGCTGCGGAGGTCACTGGTGGCATCAGCTGGCTGGGGGCATCTCCCTTTTAAGCCTTGCCCTGCCTTTGTCTTTTGCCAAGCCCCACCTCCGCCCTCCCTCCTCCGCCGGTGCCTGCTGGGCAAGTCACCGACTCGCCACCCGTTCGCCACCCTGCCCGCCCCCGGGCGCCCTGGCTCCAGGCTCCCCGCGCGTGCCCAGGGCCCCTTCCCCACCCCCTCTCTGCTCCCAACTCGCCTTTACTTTATGAACTTTGCCTGCTCTTCGCCTTTCTTCGTCCTCTGCCTGAGAACTCCCTCTCGTTTTTCTTTCTTGTTCCATTATTTTCTTGCAAACTTTCAGATAGGCCTTTATGGAGGGAGCTGAACGCTATGGTTGTCTCCATTCCCACATCGAGCAGATTCGAATCCCACACCTACCCAAACAGCAGAAGTAACCAGTCACGTGCCCTGAAGATAAATAACTGGGACGCTGCCGGAATTTTGTTGGGAGCCATAATGTACACAGTGCCCTAAACATCTACTTTAACCATAAATGCATTTCTCATTTCTCTAGTACTATACAGGCTGCAGGACATAGGCCCGTGACTTACCTGATTCTGCCTCCAAACAACCCAGAGGTATGAGCCTGAAGTTACCCACTGACATGGGCAGAGGGAGGACACAGCTATCTGCGTGAATTTCAAGTTTATTCCTACTTTTCTTGACTTCTACCATGTTCTTTGCACACTGATCACATTTAAAGTTAAATATGTTGGACAGAGGAAACCCTAATTAGCTGTAACATTAAATTATTTTAGTATATGTGCTGTGGAAGCAAACGCTAAATTAAATTATTTTAAGGAGGAGAAACCATCTGGTTTCCCCTCTGTTCTGTAGATAAGGTGGGTGAGGCACAGGAAAGGTAAAGTATTTTTCAAGGACGTCCCTCTGGAGAGCCATAGAGTTAGATTAGATCGTTGTGTTTTTTTCTGTGTTTTTAAAAAGCAGCTGAGAAAGTTTAGATTTACCTATAATTATGCACTTGATAAGTGCTTACAAATGACCTTTTGTCTTGAGTAAAGCTATAATTAATTTATATGAACACATAGCAGGAGTAGAATTGCATTGCCTAAGACGCATTGAGAAAGGGAGCTTTCTGAGTGACAGCGTGTTAAGAATTCTAGGTGTCATAACTGAAGGACAGAAGACACTTAGGAAACTTGCAAGAAATCCCAGTCATGTCATCTCAGTCTAGTTCCATCCTGAAAGAAGCCGCCAAATGTAGATCTCCTTCAGCCTCCTAGACCTGGTGGAGTCACAGGTGGTCAGAGCTCCCTCTGTAAACCTTTATAGTCCCCTGTCATTCCCAGCACTTAAAATATGTTCTTTAGATAATGCAAAGAAGAATCTTGCCTTATGGATCTGGTTCTTCCATAAACAGGGTGGGTTTCTTGAGCTTTTGGAAGTCAGATCTCTGTATTAAAAAAAATAATGGTATCTCTCTTTGACTCAAAGCATTATAAGGGGGTGTTAAAAGATCATGGCTGTGGAATGTGGGGCAAGATTATTGTTAGAGCTGAATGCTCTGATCTTCTTGTTGCTTTTTTTTTTTTTAAACCTGACCTTTCAGCAGGACAGGACCAGTCCTTTCTCCTTGAAACATACTCTTTTGCTTGACACCATCACAATTTCTGATTTTCATCTGCCCTCAAGCAATGTGTCAAGGCTGTTATCTGTTATCTGAGGGTGTGGTCCCCTGCTTATCTGCAATAAATCTTTGGGTCTGTAACCCATTGAGTTGCCCAGTGTACACTTCTACCCAGATCTCCCTCCTCCCATACTTGCATATTCACTTCCCTCCTTGACATCGCTTCTTTAGAACTCTGAAAGACGCCGCAGACTTAAGGAATCCAAATGAAATGATTGACCCAACCCCCCTCCCCCCCCAAAAAAAACCTCTTGCCTCCAGTAAACCCCCATCTCCAAGGATTGATGCACTCATTCAAAACATCACATGCCTGCTGTAGCCCGCTGCTGTAGCCCATCTTCGGTTGCTAGAGAGTGATAGTGAACTAACTGAACTACCCTGCCTCAGTGGCCCAGGCTCTGGGTCTGCACTGTTCAGTGTGTAGCCACTAGCCACTGGTGGTTACTAAGAACCCGAAAGGGGGCTAGTCCGAGTTGACGTGTGCTGTCTGTAAATACACAGCATCTTTGGAAGACTTGGTAAAAAAGAAGCAAAATCTTTGTATTATCGATTACTTGTTGAAATAACATTTTAGATATATTGGATTCAGTAAAATATATTAATGTTTTATTAAAATACACATCACTCCTGCAGTGTGTTCATTAAACTCTTGTATCTCTTTTTGTTGTGGCTACTGGCAAGTTTAAAATTACATACTTGGCTTGTACTACTTTTCTTCTGGACAGCATTATTCTGGCTGAACAGAATGAACAAATAAATTAACAATCTAATGGCTTAAGTTGCGTTCATGGTAGTAAATGCCAGAAGTTTAGGAGTCCTGCATAGTTTCTTTTTCTCAATTCCATCCCCCTGTCAAATGATTTTTAAGGCCTGTGGACTCGCTTCATAACACACCTTCAGCTGTCTGCTACTTCCCATCAGGCCCTGGCCTGCGTGAGACCTGCATCTACTCTGAGACCCAGGCAAGAGCACACTAAGTCATTTCCTTGCTTCCTCTTACCACCAGCAACAGCAGGATTTGTCCTTCCTCACCTTGTAACCCATCTGATGACGTCCAGCCTTTTCCTCTGGGCTCACTTTGGGCACCTCCCCTCCACCCACCACGCTGGTCTTCCTAGTTCTTAATCACTTGAAGTACTTTGCCTTTGCTTGGGTTTCAGTTTAAAAGTCACAGACTGTCTCAGAAAGGTCATTCTTGACTTCTCTGTCAAATAGTTCTCCTTAATTAAAAATAACAATGAATCCCTACCCTGTTCTTCGCCTTAATCCCCTCTTTGTTTAGCCTCTATCTGTCTTGTTCATCAGTTTGCCCCAGCACAGCACAGCTCTTGGCAGAGGGGAGACTGATAAGTGTTTGTTGACTGACTGTATGACCGAAAGGGGCACGCAGTTAAAGACCTGATACCTTGTTTTGGAGATGAAAGTCCTCACCAGCCATAGCCCTTGAGGCTGTTCAGTCTTAACCATTTCCCCAGAAGGGAGCTGGTTAGACTCATCCACTTTTAGGGGAAAGCAAGTTGCTGTTGCACAAAAGTTCATTTCCTCATTGTTTAACTGATTTCAAAATCAATGTGAATATAGAATATTAACTAAGTACCAAGGACTGTTTTTTAAATAAAGACCAGACACACAATAATGCCATAATAAAGTCTGGTAAAAATCAACCTTATTTGTGGAGGTCTTCCCTGCATTGTCCCTGCCCCCTATATTATGCTTTTTCCCCCTCAAAAAATGGTTAAGTGTTTGGGGGTCTGTTTTCTCACGTGCTTCTCCACTGCCTGACCCTTTAGGGGGAGTGTGCACCGGGATGCTTAACCTCCCCTGGGGTGGACGTCAGCTCAGCTTTGTGGCTGACCCTATTGATTGGCCCGCCCTGCGGTGTGTGTTGTGACCTGAAGGTCACGAATTTCCCAACACCCCGGTTTGGTCACACAGACCATCCTTGTGCTTGACTGCAGGGAGGAGGCACAGCTCACAGGATGAGGGACAGTGAGAATCCCC